AGCTTCAGAGTCTAGTGCACGAGCTCAACAGTCTATTGCTTCTGGTAGACCGAAGAGAGTGACTGCAGGAGTACCTCCACAGAGGTATGGTTTCGAGGACATGGTGGCGTATTCATTTCAAGTTGCTGAAGAAGTGGATGCAGGTGAGCCACAGTCCTATAGAGAAGTCATTTCGGGTGGCGAAGCTGATCAGTGGCTTGCCGCAATGGGAGATGAGATGGAATCCCATGACAGGAATCAGACTTGGGAGCTAGTCAAACGACCACAGGGAAGGAAGATTGTTACAAACAAGTGGATCTACAAGAAGAAGGAAGGAATCACTTCTAAAGAGGGCATGAAATTTAAAGCTCGGGTAGTTGCACGAGGCTTCTCGCAGAGGGAAGGAGTTGACTACAATGAGATTTTCTCACCAGTGGTCAGACATACTTCGATCAGAGTGCTACTAGCAATAGTGGCACATTATGACTTGGAGCTCGAGCAACTACACGTGAAGACAGCTTTCCTGCATGGAGAGTTGGAGGAAGAAATCTACATGACTCAGCCAGAAGGATTCGAGGTTCCGGGAAAAGAAGACTATGTTTGTAAGCTGAAGAAGTCCTTGTATGGACTTAAGCAATCTCCGAGGCAGTGGTACAAGAGATTTAACAGTTACATGCTTGAGCTGGGCTACAACAGAAGTCCATATGATTGTTGTGTATATCACAGCAAGGCAGAGGATGGTTCGATGATATATCTAGTTCTGTATGTGGATGATATGCTCATAGCTGCGAGGTCAAAGTCAGATATCCAGAAGTTAAAGGGGCTTCTCAGTGCTGAGTTTGAGATGAAGGATTTGGGAGCTGCTCAGAAGATCTTGGGTATGGAGATTTACAGGGATAGGTCGAAGAAGAAGCTTTTCTTGTCACAGAAGAGCTACATCCAGAAGATACTGTCGAGGTTTGGCATGTCTTCAGCAAAGCCCTTAAATACTCCTAGTGCTTCAAATGTTCATCTATCCTCAGCTTATGCACCGCAGTCAGAGGCTGAGAAAGAGTACATGTCGAGAGTCCCATATGTTAGTGCAGTAGGTAGCTTGATGTACGCTATGGTATGCACTAGACCTGATCTTGCACATGTTGTTAGTGTTGTCAGCAGGTTTATGATACAACCTGGGAAGGAGCATTGGCAGGCTGTGAAGAGGATCTTCCGGTACCTTAAGGGTACACCTGATGTGGGGATTAGCTTCGGAAGTGATACAGAGTGCTTGGTGTCTGGGTATTCTGACTCGGACTATGCTGGAGATGTTGACACGAGGAGATCGATGACCGGTTATGTATTCACTCTTGGGAGTTCTGTAGTGAGCTGGAAGGCAACTTTGCAGTCGGCGGTGACATTGTCTACTACTGAGGCAGAGTATATGGCAAGTTCCAACACTGCTTGGACTTGCTGAATGTCTTGAGTGGGTGACTCCGCCCTGCGGGGCATTGATGGCGGGAGAGAGAGAGAAGGAGCAGAGTACATCAGAGATTTCAAAGGAAGAGGATTCAAGTCAAGGTGGAGATTTGTTGATGTGACTTGAATCGGACTATCAGCCGCTACGACTGGTAATTGGGGGTCTCGCTGCCCGGTCAGCGAGTGGGGTCCAGGGGCAACGCCCCCGGCCCACGGTGTATGGGCTCAATGTTATTTGGGTTCGGGTTCTGGGCCTGGTCTGTAACCGTTTCCTTTGCCAGATTGGATTAGGTTTAGACCCACATGGAGAAGTACTATAAATACTTCTCATACTCTTCTGTAATCTGTAATCTCCTCGATATAGTGAAACTGACTCTCTCTCGCCCGTGGACGTAGCTAACACACATCGTGTTAGTGAACCACGTAAATCGTGTGTCTGTGTTTTTCGATTCTCGCTTTCGTATTCTTGCTTTGTCGATTCCTGCGATTTCCCGATCCGTAGCAGCGCGTTTATAACGTACAACCACATAGGCGCACTCTACACTCCATACCAAGCTTGGCTAACGACCTATGAAGCCAATTAAGTTATGTCGTAACCTTGGACATCGAACGATACTTCGCTTTCATCAATGACTTGAACATACTATCCTGCTTCTTAAAACGCTAAGAAATAAAATATGTCGACCTTCACACACCATCCTGGATTGGAATAACGGGTGTCGAACATAATTAGCATCAACATATGCCTCAATAACAAGCTCACCAGTAATTGGATACCAACATCTTGAGCACCCCTTTAAGTATCGAAGAATTTGATATACGTCAGTCTAGTGAGTTGTGAGTATGCCATAATCTGACTTACCACTTGAACATCATACAAAATATACAAGGCCTTAGCTTCTAGAGTTTGCTGTTTTCCCCAGGTCAGGAAAAACCTTATACGGCTAACCCTTGCTTTATATATTTGTTTGGTCTCATATGAATTAAGTAAGCTAAACTACTAGCAAATTGATAATATATTATGGTTAGCCAACCAATAAACCATCATAGCTATGATGAATTTCTAACCCAAAAAAGTACGACAAATCATCCAATATTTTGTCATATTAATTTTAGACTCGTCGATGTGCTTAAACATTTTTAGAAGAGACAAAAATAAAACAAAAAGACTATCACCATCATCCAATGTTTAATCCTCATATATTTGTCTTCTTATGAAGGTCTTAAGGTTTGCAACCCGTGGGTCGATCCATGGGTCGATCCACTTTGACTCTAACCCGGTGAAAAAAATAGGTCACATGCAACCGCCAGAAGGTACCGGGTTGGAGGTCAAATTGTGTCATTTTTTTCTTTGATTTGCGAAATGCCCCTATTTTCCGATTTTTCTTTTCGCCTAACTCAATCTTTGGAATCCTAAGTTGAACATTTGAATATTGATGTTATATAAGTGTGTGTGAATTTTCACTATATGTTGGATCTAAGTACGACATGTTATTTTGGTGGAATATTATATGTTATAACTCATATGTTAGATGAAATTTGATATAATTTATCAGGATAAGTACAATATAATGACTTTTTCATTATTTCCGGGCTAAATCGGACTAAAACGGATGACCCATTAACCCTTGACTCACTAGCTCGACCGGTCCGGATCAGCATGCGGTTGACAACCTTGTTGTCAACCCTAGCCCGAGGATAAAAAAAACTTAAAAGCACTCTGCTTAAACTCACCTCATAATTCCCTAGCCCGAGGATAAAAAAACTTAAAGCACTCTGCTTAAACTCACCTCATAATTTGTGCAATTACCATTACTAATTACATCCAAATTTGACGAAGACTTTAAAATTTTCTGTGTATTCTTCTCAGTTCCCACCAAAAGTCAAATGTCAAAACTTTACAAACACAAAAAGTCAAAACCTCACACCTTTAGTCGCACAAGGGAGACGACCTTTGACTTCGTCCACTTATGTAGACTTTTCAGTGTGTAAAGCAGTAAAGGACTCAAGCTTTATGGATTTTTCAGTGTGACTCTGTGAGTGGCTCATGTGGTGTGTGAATAGGGATGGCAATGGGTCGGGTTGGGTCGGGTTTTGCCAAATCCAAACCCAAACCCATGGGTTTATCCGTGAAAAAAACCCGGGGTAAAACCCACTGGGTTTGAAAAACTCAAACCCAACCCAACCCGCTGGGTATCCGTGGGTTCATGGGTACCCACGGGTTTTTGTCGTAAAAAATTTACAATAACAAGTTCCTATCAAAATTAAAGTCAAATATCAATCTCTCAATACAAATTATCCATATATAAAACACCATTTTAGAAAATTCAAGCAAATCATAAATTAACTATACAATTATACAAATTGTTCAACACCAATCTAGAAAACTCAAGAAAATTGAAGCAAATCACAAATTATCCATAAATAACATGATTAATTGAAAGCTTCTTCCTTTCAATTAAGTTTCTTCACTCTCCACTCGATAACATCAACTTCATTCTACACAATTTGAAAGAAGAAATTAGACATGTCTCCACAAACATAAATAAGATTATTGTTTAGAATATTAAATATACCGAGAAAATTAACTATATGGGTGTGAGCGGGTACCCATGGGTCGGGTTTACCTAAACCCAAACCCAACCCAACCCGGTGAATAGTGAACGGGTTTAAACCCAAACCCGGCCCAAAACCTGTCAACACGGATTTTACCCGCGTTGACCGGGTTGGGTCGGGTGGGTATCCGTGGGTTCGGATTTTGTTGCCATCCCTATGTGTGAACTCCCAAACCCTTGATATGAACAATTTCAAGTTTGAAAGATATGGGAAATATGTATATTTTGCAATGTTTTAAGAAACCAAACGTGCTCGATCGAAAATATCGAGTATTGAATTTTAAATAGTAGGTGATTTTAGTGGTACAAACGATTGAACTACAATTTAATTATAATTTTATTACAAACTTATATTATTGACTTTTCTGAAATAACATGCAATACAGTGTCACAATCCTTAGGAGAAAACGGTTCAGATCGTTTAGCAATCAGGTAATATGTCCAATAATTTTCAAAAAACATGATATGTCACATTTCATTGTTTTTCTTCCATTTTATTTTGGTTTAGATATCTTAAATCTTAATATTGACACACCATGTAATTTGAGTATTCTTGCACCACAACCAACCCAAAGTATTTGAAATTTCATATAAAGTATCCCGCCATGAACTCATGCAAATCAAACAATGTATAAAAAATTACTTGAATTCTGACAACATCATTCATAAAATAAACGATTCTTCATATATATAAAAATCTACAACCTCCTTGTCAAGTGTGTTTGCTTATCCATTTGTGAGCCAGTTTACTTTTTTGTTGCGGTATAATACTGGAACACAAATTCATTGGCCCCGTACGGAATTTGGAATTTCTTTAGATCCAATCCGTGAATCTCATAGATTTGCAAATCCAACGTTTCAATTCGAATTTGGTTGATGAAAGTCTAGATTTTGACATCCATGCGATACAAGAAAGAAACTATAAAATGTAACAAATCCATCGACAGATTCAAACACATTTTTAAAACTCAAAAAAATCCTCGTTTTTTTTTTAAGTAATCCCTCTTAACACTCCCTGCTCTTACACGATATGGGACTCTATTATATTGGTGAAATGAAACTTGGGTCGTCCTAGGACTGCAAAGTTCAGCCGAATCCATCCATATGAATGCTTCATTCTGAATTCACATCACCAGTCCACAGAGAGAGAAGCAGGCAGGCAACCAAGGAACAAACAACAACCATTCTTTCTTTTGTTCTCTAGCTGTTGTCTCCAGCATCCATCCCCCCTCTCCCCTCATTTCCAACTCTTCTTTGTAAACTTCCATACCCAACCATCTCCCTCACTCCTTTCCCTTTCTCACTCTGCTCAATCGCTTTCCTCCCTTGCCCCTTCCCCTCGTCTCACCTCTGTGTCTCCTTCCACAAACTTCTGCATTCCATTTTGTTCGTTTCCTCCGTCGGATTGAAGGAAAGCTGAAAATAGAAAGCTGGAACATCGACATGTCGGTCATCAGCTCCAGAGGAAGCAACGCAGCAGAGCTTCGTCTTCCCAGGAAATGGACGGACAGAGAAGCCACTCCTGAGCGAATCAGGGTCTGGGGTCACAACCGCTCCACCTCCAACACCGCGACTGTAGAAAATGTTGATATTATTAAGGCCGGAAACACCTGCGCCGAGAAGGAGAATAAGAAGAAAGTCCCCGTCGTTTACTACCTCTCGAGGAATGGACAGCTCGAGCACCCTCATTTCATGGAAGTCCCCCTCTCTTCTCCCGACGGCCTCAATCTCCGAGGTAATTCAAAAAGGATTCTCTTCGGCAACCAAACAGGCAGTTTTCACCGTTTTTAATCTAATCAACCCTTGCGCTTGATTTGATTTCCCCTCAGATGTGCTCGACCGGTTGAATCTGCTCCGCGGGAAAGGCATGGCTGCTCTCTACTCCTGGTCTTGTAAACGGTAAGACTGCAATTGAATTTTTTTGATTCAGTTGTAGATTTTTTTTTTTTTTTTTTTTTTGGGTTTGGTTTGTTAATCCCACGCTTTTGGCACCAGGAGCTACAAAAGCGGCTTTGTCTGGCACGATTTGGCGGAGGGCGATTTCATCTACCCGGCCCACGGCAGCGAGTACGTCCTCAAAGGCTCCGAGCTTCTCGAACCGGCGCCGCTCGCCGACTCCACGGGTTCCTTCAGATCTGTAAAGATACCGGCCGAGATTCAGAGCCACAAGTCGTCGTCGTCGTCCGCGTCTCCGCCGTCGAGCGACGAGGTGAATCCTAGCCCGGCGATCGCGCGGCGGAGGAACCAGTCCTGGAGCTCCATCGACCTCAGCGAGTACAAGGTCTACAGAGCTGAGCCGTTCTCCCAGTCGAGCCGGAGGCTGGCGGCGGACGCGGCGACTCAGACGGAGGACAAGAGGCGGTGGAGGAGGCCGGTGAAGCTGGCGGAGGAGGAAGAGGAGGAGGAGGAAATCGTGAGGGACCGGCGGGAGGTTGGAGTAGGGAGCAGGGAGGAGATCGAGATCGAGATCTCGCCTCCGCCGTCGGATTCCAGCCCGGAGACGCTGGAGACGCTGATGAAAGCGGACAGGCGGCTGATCTCGCTGGGCGGGAGGAGGAGGAGCGGTGGCGGAGCGGAGGATTCGAATCCGACGGCGGAGAACGGCGGGAAGGTGAAGGCGTCGACGGTCCTGATGCAGCTGTTTGCCTGCGGGTCCATGTCGTTCAGGGACTGCGGGGCCGCGGCGGTGAAGGAGCAAGGGCTCTCTCTGATTGGGCAGCAGTACAAGGGGAGGCTGCCACGTGGCGCCGGGGACCACCTAGCAGGGGCATCCAGGGAATTTCGCAGTCCTCCTCCAGGGGTAAGACTGGAAGATAAGGAGTATTTTAGCGGGAGCTTGATCGAGACGAAGAAGAAGGAAGAGAATATTCCTGCCGCGCTGAAGCGGTGTAATTCCTATAACGCTGACAGGTACGCCGCATGACAATTCAATTATTCCCTTAATTAGTAATCTCGCCCCAATAATAGAAGTTAGTTGGAGTTTATTAATTGACAGTCAAATAACCTAACAAAATAAAATACTTGATACAACTGTCTGTTAACAACCATACATAAATCAAATACGCTGTTTTTTTTTTCATATTAGAATGTTAAGCCGCCTACAAAGTAATACTTAAACCGAAACATAGTAACGAGTAACGTAAATCACATAAAATTGTACATAGATTAACCGCTGTTCACAGTAGCATATGTTATGGAACAAAATGTGTGACTGTGATATGAATCATATTACACAGATCAAAATATAATTAGTGTTGACTATAGACCCAGGAGTAGCTTTGTAAGTGTGTGCAGTGGAAAGAGAATCTCTTTGATATTGAAATGTCGGTTGGAATGTAGTTCCATATACATGTTACCAGCCAAACAAGGACGATCAACAAATACACTAATAGTGGCAGAGCTCTCAGAATTATTTTTGATTCTGGGTGGGGTTGGATCTCTGTCATGGCAGTAGAGGGGCAGATTCGCAGCAGTAGTACGAGTATTTATTATTTAAAGCTGGGAGAGAAAGCAGGACACAGCAGACAGAGCAGACAAATATCAAAACCAGACTAGAAAGTAGAAACGGGGCTCCCCCTTCCTTTCTAACTTCCCATTGAATGCTGCTGGCCTTTTGTCTTCTCTCTCTGGTTATACCAACGGGCTTCTCTCGCTTTACCAGTAGTAGTACAGTACTAAAGCTTTTGTGGGGCTGCTGTGACAGAGTTGACTTGATTAAAAGCTGCAGAAAATTCTTCTGATAATTGATTCTCCCCCCTGTTTGATATGTCTAATGCCACAATTGAATTTGCGCAGGATGTCACAGCTGCAACTCGGGGAACATGAGGTGGAAGGGAGAGCAGGAGGTGGTGGCGCGACCACGAAATGCATTCCGAGGAAGCTGCCCAAGGCAGGGGCGGCGGCGACGCCGAGTCGGAAAGAGAAGGAGAAGATTAGCCACCAGGACGATGGGAGTAATAGCAGGGAGGGTGGTGGTGGAGGAGGGAGCAAGAGATTTGAGCCGACCACCATCCGACAAGTAGAGGAAACCCGAAAGGATGGAAGCAAATAGTAAAAATGTTTGACGGCAGATAGTCTCCTTTACACTTAATGGAAGGGAATGCATGTTTTTTGCTATATGTACATGACTAAAAATGTTGCTGTTAGTGGTAGCAGTTATATATAGTTCATATATTAGTGGGGCCTGAAGCTGAAGACCACCAAGTTAACTTAACTGGCACGGCAGGGCGAGTAGGACATCCATGGTGGGAGTCTGGGAGAGGGAATTAAGAGGGGGAAATGCGTGCTTTTGGGAAATCAAGAAAAAAGGGTCAAAGAAAGGAGAAGAAGAGTTAGCTTTTGTTTTAACTATTTTCATCGTTACGTTCTGTTTTGTGGAAGGTTGCGAAAATGTCTGCTAGGTTGAGATCATGGCGCGCCTTGGTGTCTGTAGTATTCAGAAACTAATGCATGGAGCAATGTAGAAATGTCAAATAATCAGGGTTGTCACGCCGGCCGGCGTGCCACCGGTTGTACCTGGTTCAACCTGTACCGGTCATAAAACCGGTGTGACACCATCGGTATGACCGGCATGATCGATATACGAATCTCTAAGTAAAATAACCTTATTTTAGTGACTTTAATTGTTAAAAATTATTTTATTATTTATTTTATGAGTATAAATGTTAAATATTGATGTTATTTGTTGGATTCAAGTATAAATGTTTAGGTATTGACGTTAAATGTCATGTTTAAAATGAGTATTTATAATTTTATTTGTAATATTGACCGGCATGAACCGGCACAAACCGATATGTGTCACCGGTCGAACCATTCCACTTGCTAAACCGACACACTGGCATAAGACAACCTTTCAAATAATTAATAGCGCCGATCGAGCTGGAGCCTTCCTTTTCCTTCTGGTACTTAGGAAGTCGTTATTTTGGCGCATGCATGCGATGGGAACTCGAGTTTTTTTGTTGTCTCCGCGCTTAGTTTACATTTTGGCGTTTGCTTTGTTCTATCTCTCTTTCTAAGTTTTTAACTTTGCCGGGTTCTGCCACCGGCCACCGTCAGAGCTACCTGATCACGAGGCTTGCAGGTTGCCCCCCGAACCCTACTCAAGGTTGTCAAACCGGTTTGTGCCAGTGTTCCGGTTTAGCAAGTGGAATGGTTCGACCGGTGGTACATACCGGTTTGTGCCGGTTCATGCCGGTTAATATTACAAATAATTTACAAATACTCATATTTAAGCACGACATTTAACGTCAATACCTAAATATTTGTACTTGAATCCAACAAATAACATCAACATTTAACTTTTTAACACATAAAATAAATAATAAATGACTTTTTATCAAATAAATTCACTAATATAAGATCATTTTACTTAGAGATTCGCATATCGATCATGCCGGTCATACCAGTGGTTTCATACCGGTTTTATGACCGGTACAGGTTGAACCAGGTTCAACCAGTGGCACGCCTGCCGGCGTGACAACCATGCCCCTACTGCTTCGAGTTCGACACATGTGATAACCTTGTGTGTTTAAAGCAACGCCACGTTAGTTTTCTTGGTTACGTATTGAAAAATACGTTGTTCGGAGGGTTAAAATTGTAGTAAGAGGGACGTTGCACCGAAGACTACTGCTGACTTTGAGGGGTCGGTTAGCATGCTAACCCCCCTTAGGGGTTAGAAAAATGACACCCCTAGTATATTAAATACAACTATAGAATTTAATACACACATTAAATACATATTAGGAATTAAATATACCATATTAATTAGGAATTCTCTCACTATTAAATACACATTAGGAATTAAATACACACATTAAATACACATTAGGAATTCTCTCACTATATTTGATTTTTCCTTTTTCAGCAGTCTCCGACCACCAGACTTCCTCCGACCGCCACACTTCTCCGGTGAAAATCCCATCGGCAGACTCCCTCCGACCACCTCCAAAAAATATACCACTGCACTGATACGGTGTACCACTGTACTGGTAGATATACCACTACACTGATACGTTGTACCACTGTACTGGTAGATATACCACTGCACTGGTAGCGATATCAGTGCACTGGTAGCAATGTCATATCTGAGTATCAGTGCAGTGGTACAAATACCAGTAAAGTGGTAATTAATGTGGTGTATTTAATGCTTACTTTGTATTTAATAAGAGAAAATTTATTATGTTTACTTTCATTAATACTTGTCAATAATTAATGAAAAATTGACCAATTAAAAGGGGGTGTCAAAAAACCAACCCCTTAAGGGGTTAGCATGCTAACCCGTTAAGGGGTTAGTAGGCTAAATTAACGGTCATTTTCTGACCGAAGGCCTCCTCATTCTTTGTATCCATCCCATCAATATTAACGGTCAGTCGGTCACACTAAATTCCGAGCCAATTTGACACGTTTTTTCTCAAAATTCGGACAAAATTTTATAGTTTGAAAGAAGAGGCCAAAATTGTCTGTTATATCATAGTTCAGATCAAATCAGGGTAATATCGATCTCCATGACGTGGAAGCCATCACGCAGCCGCGTCAGCATTATATGATGATGTTCTAGACAGAGGAAATAATTGACTATCAATATTAATGCACAACTTAAATTTGGGGCCAAATTTTGATAATTTTTTTTTAAAATTCGGACAAAAGTCAAAACTATCTTATTTGACAGCTTTGAACAAACAAAATTATCATTTAGGTCGCAGTTCAATCCAAATTGAGGTGTTATCCGTAATTAAATGGCCATTCCTACCAAAATGTTGTGTTTAAAAGGGTCGGGTTTTCACTACCTCGCCCAGCACAGAAAGTCAACAATTGAGTGCAACTTTTGGGCCCAAAGCAAGGGCCCGTTTAGCTCGCCAAGGAGGTCGGCCCATGTCGGTAGGTAGATGGGGTGGCCGAGCGAGGTGGGCTCCTTTTGGGAGGAAGTAAAGAGGGAGAATTAGTTGGGCTAAGAGGATTTTCTTGCATCAGACGAGGAAATAATGCGGGCCAATTGGCTAAAAGAAAGTAAGAAACTATGGGAATGTCAACACGGTTGGACTTGGAGTTCCTCTTAGTTAGTGGTGGGATTCGGTCGGTAAACAATTTACCGTTTACCGATACCGGTTTCGGTATACCGAAGTTAACCAAAGTGGTTACCAATTACCGATACCGGTTTGTAACCGGTTTACCGATTACCGAATTACCGGTAAACGGTTACAAACCGGTATTACCGAAATATCGTGAGAAGCGATTTCGGGCGGTTTTTCGGTCGATTTACCGAATATTTACCGAACCGAATTTCTGGAAGTGGGGTGATGTTGTAATATTTTGATTTTTTTTAGTTTTTTTCATCATTTTTATAATTAATAATTTATTATTAACTCTTATTTACAATATTTTTGAGGCCTATACTTACATTCATGTATGTAATATTTTATATTTTTGGGGGTAAAGAAACAAAACGCAGCGCAACACTAGGGAGTAGGGAGGGGGAATTCGGTATCGGTAATACCGATTTACCGTCGGTATTTACCGATACCGTGTCCGGTAAACCGACTCCCCCAACTTCCCGCTCGGCTGCCGATACCGCCGGTAAACGGTTTACCGTTTACCGTCGGTTACAAGTTCGGTAAAATGGTAAACCGTTTATCACCCTACTCTTAGTCCTGGCCTACGTACTATACTACTATGCAGGGCTGCTAACAAAAGCTTCCGGCTCAGTGTTCACTTTGTGCAAATTATAAATTGAGAGATATATATATTTAAATTATAACGCAGCACAATTATGATGTCTAGTCTAACCGGTCCATCAATCAATTTTTTTTTTTTTGACAAAAGACATTGGATTTCCATTACCTGTGGCACAAGCTAGTCATTACAGTAAGGGAGCAACTACATCAAGAATTTGTAACCATTGAGATGGTAACTGATTTCTAGCACATGATCTAGCAAACCAATTAGCCTTGAAGTTGTTCTTTCGATTAAAGTGTTGCAGCTTGATGGACGGGTTCTCCTCAAGAATACTCTTGATGTTGCCCAGCCTTGCTGCCGCTGGCCACGACCATGACTTTGGGTCGCTCTGGACTGCCTTCACCAGCTGCAAGCAATCTGATTTCAGCAGGCAGGGAGCTCTGAGGGAAACTGCTAACCGGGAACCCTCCAACAGGGCTAAGGCTTCTGCTTCAAGTGGGGAAAAACAATGCATGGGCTCAGCTTTACCATCACAAACTTGACCATGGCTATTCGATACAACGACGCCATATGCCGCCTTCTGGGGCTCGTCAAAGAACGAGCCATCGTAGTGTACTTCAAAGTGATGAGTACCTGGCGGTGGTGAAGAGTGTTGCTGGGGTGAAATGAGCTGAGGCGGTGGGAGACCTTCAGAAACTCTCCTTGGGCACGTGGTCCATTGTAGATGGGCTGACGCCGCCCTCGTGATCGTGGATGGTGGCCATGGCTTCGTATCCCTAAAGATCTTCTCATTCCTAGTTTTCCATGTCTGCCAACCGAGGAAAATGATCTTCTGAATCGCTATGATTGGATAGCTCTGTCGAAGGGAATCGAGCCATTCCAGGAAAGAAGAGAGTGGTGCAGGTTGAGGCAGGGAAGGACACTCTTGGTTCCATCCCTCCGCCGCGTGGGGGCAGTCAAATAAGCAGTGGTGGACTGATTCCGTCGAGAATCCACAGATCGGGCAAGCCTTTGAGGTGGCACATTTCCTCGCAAATAGGTTTTCTTTTGAAGCCAAAGCCCCTCTCGTAACCTTCCACACGAAGAATTTAAGCTTCAGAGGGATAGAAAGGCTCCATAACCACTTCCATCTTTTCCTGCTTGCCTCCGAAAACTCCTCGGTTCGTCCTCTGTCATTTCTGGTATGAAAATGGAATTGGGTGAAAGCAGACTTCACCGTGAAATTTCCTTGATCAGTGAACCTCCATGCCCAAAAGTCCTCCAGTGAGTCCGGCCCAATAGGGATCACTGCCACCTGCTTCAGGTCCTGTTGACTAAGGAAAACCGCTAGCAAGTCGAATTTCCATTCCCTCGAAATCTCATCGATCCAACTGTCTGCTGTAGAGTTGTCGTTCCATTCAAACTGGAGGAGGGGGCCTGCCCTATCAAATCTCCAGGGGTCATGGAAGATCCTCGTTGTTTTGCCATTGCCAATCACTCGGATCAACCCTTATCGCATCCACTTTTTCGCTTCACAAATACTGGACCAGATCCAAGAAGCTCTGCTGCCATTTTTTGCATTTAGGAAATCCGAGTTGGGGAAATAAATACTCTTCAGTACTTAAACCCACAAGGCATCCTTGTTGGTGAGTATTCTCCAAGCTTGCTTGGCCAGAAGTGCAAGATTGAAAGTATGGAAAGGACGGAACCCGAGTCCCCCCCTCCTCTTTAGGTGCGTATAAAACTTGTCCTGCTCTCCAATGAATCGTTTTCTTTGTCATGGATCCTCCCCAGAAGAAAGATTTGAGCATGGAATCCATTTTCTTTGTTGTACTCTTTGGCAGTAGGAACAGGCTCATGATGTAGGATGGGACCGCTTGGAATACCGCTTTGAGCAAAACTTCTTTCCCTCCCGGGAACAGGAGGAGGCTCTTCCAGGCTTCCCCTTTAGATTCCATGCGTTGGAGGAGGAAGTGAAATGTTTCTTTCTTTGATCTGCCCCATTCGGTCGGCACTCCCAGATAGTTGGAGTGGCATGAAGTGGGTGCAAAACCGTCCATCAAGAATTATTGATGTGTATTACAAGAAGGATAAAAGGCTAATTTTTATTAAATACTATAATTTCAGTTTATTATTATTACTACTGTCTTAGAAGTAATTTAAAGGTATTATATGCTAAATCAAAGATATATCATAAGCTCCCTCTGTATAATGGATAAATTAAATACAGAAAAACAACAACCATAACAACATATATGGATTAATTGTCTAGGGATCGTTGGGAGAATATGAGTTTAAATCTATAGATAGTCAACAATCTAAAGATTTTAACTCTTCGGATTGTTGAAAATAAATTTTAAAATGTTTATTGTTTGGTAATTGTGATTGTTAACATTCAATAAAAATAAAAAAATTAATTTTATATTAAATAACATGTTTATCCTTACTAAAAAATTAGACTGGTTCGAGAAAATATTTAAAAATTTATTGACAAATATATTTAATATGATAAATAAAATAAAATAAAAAGAAAAAAATCTTACAAATTAAGATATAGAATCTCTCTAATTATGAGAGATTTGATATCCGTAAAATTTAGAGATTTGATATCTCTAAAACTAAAATCTACAATACAAAAAGCAATAAAAAAACACAACTTTTTATGAAATCTACCGATTCAATGAATTCACGTCCTAAAATCTCAATCTCCAAAACGACCCAATTGTATGCCATCCATTTTTGTATCATCATTCGTTGAACGTCCTTTTCTTATTTCTTCATCATATGATCAATTATTTCGCTTTTTCCACCCCAATTTAAAGAAAAAAAACAAACCCAATTAATTCTTACCCAGTCCGCTAACCAAGTTGCTGGCTTTAGATTAGCTTAGCTACCTCCATTGTCTAAAACAAAAACGCACCCCTCAAATCAAACTATTCATTCAAGCTTTCTCCTTCTCATCCCTTCCGTCTCTCGTTCACTGCTTATTTCTCTCTGTCCTTGTTTTTCTTTCGGTTCTTATTTGTTTGCATGCTTCAAAGGAGCACTCAATAGACACACACTACTCTCTCTCTTTCTGCGGGAGACGCACACTCCAACTCCGCACTGCAACTAACTTTGTCGCTTTGGCTTCAAATAGTCGAAATATTTTTCCTTCCCAAGTATTTGCATGTCACGACTGCCCAGCTCCTCCTTCCTCCATTGCCTCGACCTGGTGGTATCTCTCTCTCTCTCTCTCTCTCTCTCTCTCTCTCTCTCTCTCTCTCTCTCTCGTCAAACTGACTTTTTGCGGTAAGTTTCCTTCCCTTTCCTCTTCTATTCATTCCTTCTCTTTTGTTCCTTGTTATGTATTCAGCCTTCTGCTCTGTGTCTCGCGCCTATCTTTCAAATGGGTAATTTTCCTTGCCTCTTCGTAATCATGTTCGCTTGCTCTATTTGTTCTGATGGGGGTGTGGAGGCAGTGAGTTGGGTTGTGTAGACTCGGCCGAGTTTTGAACAAGTTCTCAATTTGGGTTTCTGTGCCGTTCGTTGGTGGAGAGGAGGGACGAATATGGGACCCATAAGAGGGAACAGAAAGAGGAAAAGAGGCGATAAGAAGAGCGACGAGAATGGCTATGGTTCAGCAGCTTCTGAATGCTCTTTGGATTGGTGGGATGACTTCTCCAGAAGGCTTCGTGGTTTGTTCTTCTTCTATCTTCACCCTACAGTAGCCTCCAGAATATAATTATGTTGTTCTTGCCAAGCTCTCTATTTGTTTTTTGGTATTTTCTTGCTGTGTGTATATTATATAATGATCTGTTGCCTGCTGGTATCGTAGTATTTTCTGCTGCTAATCCAGCTCGGGGCTGTAAAATTTTTGCTTCTGCATATTTCACTATGTTCTGCAGCTTTGACATTTTCATTTGGGAGCATGTATAGGCTTTTATGTCAAATGTAGGGTTTTATATTTGCGTAGCTCATCTTTGGATCTGGAATTTGATTCAGATAATGCATTTGACTGACATTATTATTGCAATAATCCGGGATGCTGTACGTATTCTCTTTGCTTATGCTCCTTCTTGGACAAAAAATGGGTGGGTGTTCCTTTTAGTTGGGAGATAGCAAATTGTAGTGTTTAAAATAATGTAGGATCGGAGCAATTAGGAATGTAATTACAGTGGGGTGGGTAATTGAGGAATGTCTTCGGCGAGAAATGGGGTGAAGGGATAACAAGAGATATCTGTACTCATAAGCATTCCCCTGTTTGAAGTCTAGATGGGGAATTTCTGTTACATATGTTAACACCTGATTCTTGCAAATGCTGGATTCTAGCTCACTTGTCTAGTATTTATCATCATATTAACATCCTTAGCTTCTGTACTTGTAATCTCTGAGTTAAGCTTTCAGAGTAGCGAAATGGGTTTGTAACACTTTGAATTAGACACTGGTGAACATACTCCAGATACCCATTTTTGGATCATAGATTAAGACATCATGCTTAAGATATTTGCAGCATGTCAAGGCAGTGTTATCAGAACTGAACATTAGGTTGAACATTCTCACACAGACTTTTCTACATTGTTCTTTTAAGGTGTAGTGAAGAGGGTCATGATATTGCATTTATAATAGTTTCTATAACTTCGATTTTAGTAGTTCCCTGTGTTTAGTAGTTGATGTTTCTGGTAGATTCCCGCCTTTGATGTGAATGTGACGGTTGAGCCTGCCGATGTAGTACCTTATGGTTCCATTTGCTGTTACCATCTTGTGGCCATAGAGAGTTCAAGGTGGCATCCGGAAACTAAAACTAAGCCTCTGATATTTTGCCCACTAAATGTCCTTTCTGGATGTGTTTGCTTTCCATATGGAAGTATGTAAGTAGAATATTTCATGTCAACTGCTACATGGTTCATATGCTTGATGCTTTATTAACTTTGATTTTGTGATTGGAAGTATGCTGGCAATATATATTGCAAATTACTGTACTAAAAGTCTCATGAATGTTATACATATTACAGATGAGCAATTAATTTCTTCTCTTTTCTTGGCAAAACCTGCAGAAGGTGGTCATCAATCTCCAATGAAAAGTCTGGACAAGTTCGAACTCATTTTCAAGATTTCCAGGAAAACTTTCACCTACATATGTTCGCTCGTAAAGGAAGACCTGACCTCCAAGTCAAGGGAATTCACATTTCTCAACGGAAGACCGCTGTCCTTACACGATCAAGTGGCAGTAGCTTTGAGGAGACTTGGCACCGGTGGTTCACTAGCAGTGATTGCTGGTTCATTCGGGCTGAACAACTCGACCGTCTCCCAAGTTACATGGCGGTTCGTAGAGGCTCTCGAACAAAGAGCGCTTCACCACCTCAAATGGCCATCGACCGAGCTGGAAATGGCTGAAATAAAATCAAAGTTCCAGAAATTGCAGGGCCTTCCCAATTGCTGTGGCGTCGTCGACATGACCCACATTACTATGCTCCTATCCACATCAGACCCCACCAGCAACGTGTGGCTCGATGGCGAGGAAAACTACAGCATGGTGCTGCAGGTGATTGTGGATCCCGAGATGAGGTTTTTGGACATAGTCACTGGATGGCCAGGTAAAATGGACGACTGGGCAGTGTTTCAGAACTCGACCTTCCAAAAGCTGTGTGAAAATGGGGAGAGGCTCAATGGGAAGAAAGGATCATCAGATATAAGGGAGTACATAATTGGGGATTCAGGGTTCCCTCTGCTGCCATATCTCATGGTTCCATACGAGAACGAGCTCTCGGATGGAAGCTCTGAGTTCAATCGACGACATTTGGGTACCCGGTTAGTGGCTCAAAGGGCACTGGCGAGGCTGAAGGAGTCGTGGAAGATCATCCGAGGGCAAATGTGGAGACCGGATAGGCACAGGATGCCCAGGTTCGTTTTGGCGTGCTGCTTGCTTCACAACATTGCTATTGACATGGAAGATGAGGTTCAGGCTGCGATTCCATTGTCATCGGATGAACACGACTCTGGCTATAGGCAGCAGATTTGTGGGTCGGTCTTCGACATGAAAGGTGCAGAAATGAGAGATGAACTGTCTCTTTACCTGTCTCAGAGGCTGCCATCGTGAGGGTCTGGTCAAACTATGGAAAGAACAAAAGAATGAATTGTACATAACGTTGGCCAAAGTGTGGTCGGTGAGCAATCCAGATGTAGACGGGATAAGGTGGTAGGACATTCGAATAGAGATGCAAGCTCATAATTGCTTCTTGTTCTAGTAATTGGTCACCTGATATTTTCTTTAACTTAACTTGTTAAAGTATACCTGAATGCAACGAATTACATCAATTTTTAATTTTTATATTCATAAAATACGTAATAAATTCATTTTTTTATAAATTAAATTCACTAAAATAAGATCATTATTTTGCTTAGAGCTCGTTAATCTATCTTACCGATCATATCAATGATGTTCATATCGATTTTATAATTGACACCGATTGAACCAAATTCAACTAATCGACATGCCAACAACTACTCACATCCACTAGACCAAACCGCTTCAACTAATAAACCGAAACGCGGAAAACAAAACAGCGCACTACTAACCAGCCCACTGTGGATTCCACGCAAGTTCTGCGACCTAATTACCGAAAATACCCCTGGCCCTAGCCCTGACAAAATTACTTAGCCCCCAAGCCAAGAACAGAAATGTCCGAATCCGAGGTAGGAACGGAGAAAGAAATCCGCCGCTTCCACACAAACACGTCACCGCCACCGCCTCACGCTTTACTTTCCCTTACCCATCTTCCTTATAATTTATAAATACATCTCCTCCAAACTCCCAATAATCCACTCCCAATCCAACCGGGGGAAACACCCTTCGTCATACTCAGTTTCCGACACAACATTGATATCAACCATGACGATGAAGAGATTCCCCGCCGCCCGCGCCGCCGGAGACAATCGCCAGCTGCGCGGCTTGGCCGGATGCTTGATTCTGCTCTCCAAGTACGCCAAGGAGAACGACGGCGCCGTTTCGCGGTCCACGACGGCAGCGGTTGCCGGTCGTTTCTTCGAATGCAAGACCTGCGAGAAGAAGTTGACGTTGTTCCAGGTCCTGGGAAGCCCCCGGGCCAGCCACAACAAGCCTAACAAGATGGGCCCGGCCGTCTCGGGGGAGAAGCCCAATAACAAGGCCCACGAGTGCGCCACCTGCGGATCGGAATTCACCATGGGCCAGGCCCTTGGAGGTCACATGAGGCGCCACCGGGCCGCGTTGAGTTTGTTGCCCGCGTTGGCTACGATGAAGATATCCTCCTCCTCCGCCGCCGAGAATCGGGCTACGTGTTTGGATTTGGACTTGAACTTGACGCCGGTTGAGAATGACGACTTGAGCTTGCGGTTAGGGAAATCCCTCCACATTGCTTGATTTTCATTTTCGATTTGTTATCTGATGATTACCTCAAATTTTTTTTTTTTTTAACGATCTATATAGAACAGATAGCTGGTTTAGCTGGACATATTCACGAACATGTGTTCTTTTTTGTTTCTTATGCTTCGAGGAGAGATGATTCTCTCGGTCAATATATGATTCATATATTTACTTGTTAGAAACTTAGAATTCATGGATTTCACATTTTTGGTTTCTCTCCCGACCTTTTTTGTTTGTGAAAACTTAAAATCACGAGGACTTAGAATTTTGTGTACATTGGCGATCACCGGTAGGGTAGGGGTCAGGGGATACAATCGACAAATATAGTAATTTATACTAATACTCTATATGTAATTGATGGGGTTTACGACGGTCAATTGCTCGCTTCCATTGATTGAAGTAATTCAAGGAAACATGCCTAGTACATAAACAAAACTTCTTGGATTTGTATAATTATGTGACACATGGAGGTTGACCGCATAATCGAATGGTTTGCCATTCGATTGAACAAAGAGCTGGTAAATGGATTGATCCATAGATTGGTGGATTGGATTGGTGGATCCATGGATCAAATGGATTGGTGGTTTCATGGATTAGATCAAGTAGACTGGTGGATCATCCATGAATCCAAATGACATCCTCAACCAAGGACTAATATGTAAAATGTGAAAAGTTTAGGTACTAAAATGTTATAATGAAAAATTTTAGGTGCCAAAACGTAATTTTCCAATGACATTTTCGTATAAAAAATAAATTTTGGGTACAAAAATGTAAAATATAAAAAGTACAGGTACCAAACTGTAATTTACCATTTGGATCTATGGATCAATCCATGAATCCACCAATCCAATTGAATTTGGATCAAATGGATTGGATTTAAATGGATTGGATTATGTGGATATTTTTAACGGGTTGGTGGATTGGATTGAGAATTGCCACCTTTAATAGAGTAGTCAACTTTGGTTATAAGTTATAACTGATAATAAATCTAGTTTTTTTTTTTTTGATAAAAAGGAGGCACAAGGCCAAAGATTACAAGAGCAAAAAGATCAAGACACTTATAAAGCTCCTATCCACACAAAGGAAACAACAAATCATACCAGAAGAAAAGCCAAGGAAGCAGCAGCTTCAAAACTCTATCTAATCACATCATTCCCCTCAGCAAAAACCATTGCTCTAATTCTGATGGACTTGTCTCGGGAAGCTAACCCCTACAATGTCTTCTGTGCAAATCTTGTCCAGTTCCAATGGGGGGTTCTCAAGTTCATACGTACCAAAGGGATAGACGAGACTGTGCTTCGAGAGCCAGTCCGCGACTCTATTCCCTTCGCGGTACGTGTGAACCAGTTGAACTACCCATTCTTTCGCCAACAACCGTCGAATTGCTCCTAGAATGGTAGCATGAGGATGGACACTGTCTCTTCTATTGTCAATAATCTGTAACGCGAGTTGAGAATCCGATTCCAAGATGAGGAATTGAATTCCTTTCCTCCAAGCCAAATCCAGACCCTGCAGTATTCCCCATAGTTCTGCCAACAAGGCAGTACCAGTCCCTATCTTACTGCAGAAGCCCCCAACCCAGTCCCCATTGTGATCTCGCAAGACTCCTCCTGCAGTGATTATTCCTGGGTTACTCTGTGCTGCACCATCTGTATTCAGTTTGTACCATCCTGTTGGTGGAGATGTCCATCCAATCATGGCTTCCACCCTTTCTCGCTTCTCGCCAACAGCAAGGGAAAGCTTAGCTGAGTCCCAAATCTTCACCCACTCTGTAGCTTTTGCTGTTATGTAGTGCTGCCGGGTGGAATTTATCATACTTCAATCTAAAAACATACTATTATTCGCCATATCATAATAAATCTAGTTAAGATTGATTGGTTTGGTTTGAATTTATCATACTTCAATCTAAAAACATACTATTATTCGCCATATCTCATATGCCATAGGAGTAAATCTGCGAGCTCATAAATAGCTTCCAGTTCAATAAATTTGCCCTGATATTCTTAGAATTTATTTGTGAAGGCATAGTTGCCAAATTCTTGAGCATTTACTCTACCATTGTGTATCGAGAAAATACCGTTTTTGTAATTAAAAATTATTTTTTTGTTAAAAAACCGTACCGGCAGATTCAGTATACCGTTCGAAATAATACCGAAATAAAACCGGAATATACCGGATAACAAACCCGAATAAATTAAATAGGAATAGGTAACATAACAATCAACAAACTACAACATTACTAAATAAACTACATAATCGTTCAAATGCATGTTTAGGATCGAGTACAAAACATACCAATATAGTAAGAACACAAGTGGAGATCCCAATCGAGCACTTAAATAACAGAAACACACAAAACAATATCACTAATAGTGATGCTTAGCTTATCAATTTCATGGCCTTAATTAGTTTGCTTGATTGATCGGCTGTCTTAATTAGTTAACCAGTTGCCCCACTGCAAGAGCTGTCGCACAACAATTGCTCCAAGAAAGCAGCTCCAAGATCTTCGAACTCCACCACTTCTTCTTCTTCCTCCTCCTCCTTATGATTCTGGCGACCCTTTTCAATTGTCGCCGCCTTGCTCTGCCGGCTGAGCGCCTCGGCAGGGGACGAGTGCTCCTCGAATACGCTGTAACCTATCTGGCTATCTCCCGGAGGGACCTGTTGACGTCATCGACGGGGAAGTTGAGGGCGTCCTTGGAGCCTTGGAGGGACAGCGCCACCTGATCGTACGCCAACGCCGCCGCCTCCGGGGTGTCGAATGTCCCCAGCCACACCCTCACGCCGCGCCGGGTACAATTGCTTATCTTCGCCGGCGCCGGGTACTTCCCCCACGGCCGCCGGCGTACAGAGACGACAAAGTACTGAAGAAGAGGGTGACTCAGAGCTGCGGCAGGCTCGTCTTCTGTCCTTCTCGCCGGTCGTCAGAGGCAAGGCTGGGCTGGAGAACGATCGATCGGCGGCAGCGTTCTCTTCTTCTCGAGCAGGCGGCGTTGTGGAGAAGAGGAGGAGCGGCAGGTGAAGTGAAATGATGGGGAAGATTCGATTAGGGTTAGTAACTTAGTGACACTCGTTTTTTCCTCCTCAATTGTCAATGGAACGGCGGCGACGCTACGTTACTTTGAATTAGTCTACCGCCGGTCTGAATTATACCGGGCGGTAAATCGGATAGTGCCGATTATGCCGTAAAAATAGGCCGGCGTGGTAAAACAGATGCCGGATGGGTACCGTTTCGCCACTAGGCCAGTTTCTGGTTTTTCCGGTTGAACCGGCCGGTACGATCCGGTTTCCTTTTACATGCCAAAACTACCTGTCATATTTACTTCCACTAGAAGAGTTTCGTACTATTTGTCGCTCGTCTCTTTACTATTTGCCGCCCGTAAATTAAACTAAAATGACATTTTTATCCTTTGTTCATTTTTTATAACACAAACCCCATTCCATCACAACACCAGCGACCACTACTGCCGCCGACAATAGACCACCGCCGGCCCCGCCACTCCTGCTGCCGTCGGCGCCAGTCCACCACCGCCGCCAAATCGCTAGCGTCGCCACCACCGCCAGATCTCCAGCGCGGCCAACACCAAATCATCACAACCGGAGGGCGGGCCGCGTACGACGCCGGCGGGAAGACCCCGTCAGATGCCGGCGGGAGGACCGTGCATCTAGCGACGGTTTCAAAACCATCACAAAACTTGTCGCTAAATGATAATAATTATTTAACTCAATGTTCTATTTTTTTTAATTATTATATCATGTTAATAATTATATGTATGTTTATTAATTATATTTATGAATTAGAAAAACTAAAACTTATTCATAAGAAAAAAAATTAAATTATAAAAAATATTGTACAAACTAATTCATACTTATTTTTTAATTATGTAAATAGAGCTAAAATAAATAAATTAAGTATAATAGCAATTAAATAATTATAGTATGTTAAATAATTACAAATTATCTGAAGTAGTGTATAAGAGAATGGATATTTAATCATAAATTATCATAAATATTGTATAAACTTATGAATAATTCATTTTAATTATGTAGAATAGTTATAAAATATTGGGCTAATACCACTACAACACCCGAACTATCGAAAAAATGCCACTTATGTCCTATTGTATCAAATATTCCATTCATGTCATGAACTATTATATTTTGTGTCATTTGTATCCTGTCAATTTTGTTGACTGTTAAAGATAACAGTTGACCAAACGGCGGTCAACTTAACATTGACTTTTGCTTATGTGGCAATGCCAACTCATTGACACCTCACATTTTTAATTTAAATTAAATAAAAATTTGAAAATAAAAAATTGAAAAAACATTAAATTCAAGAATATTACTAAATAATATTCTATAACCTCAACATTAAAAAAAATACTATTCTCTACCGATTTGCCTCTCTCGCTCTAAAAAATTTCCCCTTCTGCCTTGCCATCTGCTTCGTCAGGAACGTGTTCGGCGGCAGTCGCACCCCGCCATCGGCAGAATCATCCCCCATCATCGTCCTCCCCACACAGCGTCGGAAAGGCTTGCTGGAAAGAGTTGGGTTCACTTGTCTCCATCCTCTTTAAACAATCAGATTCATAACCGCCACTGGCGTCGAGAAGCTCCGTGGGATTCCATTCTCGTCAAAGAGAGCGGAGCCGGCGGAATCAGACCGAATGGGCAGAGGAGATTCGATTCAGCGACCTGACCAAACAGATCTGAGAGAAGAGCTCTGAAATTTGACCAAATAGATCTAAGAAGATCTCTGAAATTTGAAGAAGGCTGGGAGCTTCTTTAGCTCTCTGTTCGGTCGTCGTCTCGAACTCCAGTGGGGTTGGTGATTGAAATCCCTTTTCGATTTAGGGGTTTGCACTTGGGGGAAGAAGGGGACAGCAAGTGGGGCGAGTGGAGGAATGGGATTGATGGAGGGGTGGAGGGATTATTTGGCAAAATTGGATCTGGGTGGCGGATGGAATTCAGGAGGAGAGAAGAGGAAGAAGGTGGGAGGAGATATAGGTAGAGATTTACGAATCTGATTTTGTTTTCGATTTTTGTAATTTGTAATTTTCTTTTTTAGTTTATTTATTTATATAAAAGAAATTAAAAATTAATATTTAAATTCCACATCAAATGCCACGTAGATGCTGACTGGACTTTCTGTTAAAAACTAGCAGTCAACACCAGTTAACACTAACTGAATAGTAGTTTAGGATACAAATGGAATATTGAAAAGAATAGGACACAAGTGGCATTTTGATCATAGTTCGGGTGTTATAGTGGTATTAGCCCTAAAATATTTATAAACTTTGATTAAACCTTTTTAATTGTATTTATTTCATATTTAATAAGATCATCGTACCTAAACTATGTTTTATAAAACTTCCAAGGAATTGAGGCACGAAGAGGACTCTTTGCGGCTCGGGGAAGGTCGGGTAAAAACTTCTTTTAGCAATTACTAGAGTCACTGACATGAAAAAATATTGAAACTTTCATCGATCTCTTAAAATGTGGATACAAATGTGTTGGAATCGATTGTTTATCAATCGGACATTCCCGAAAAAAAGAGATGAATAGTGCCAAACCTTTCATCGAGGTGTTTTTAGGGCTCTGGGAGTGGTAACTAGGAGTTTCTTGAGCCTATCACGTATATTTCCATGAGGCGAAACATTATTGTTAGTGGAGGGAGAGATGATTTTGCCTCTAAAATAATTTCATAGTAGGATTGGATGGATCGAGGTTGAAGGTAGATATTTAAGGGGAATGAGGGTTTAGGGTTTCGGAGGTATATAAGGTATAGGAGGTGGATGAGATGCTTTCCTTCTTCTTTTTTTCATTATTGGTCCAGTTGAGTCGAGTTGATTCTTATTGTTGTTATCTGTCATCTTGGGTGAGATTATTTCAACTGTGGTCAAACCCTAATTAAGTCAAACCCTAATTTGGGTCAAACCCTAATTAAGTCAAACCCTAATTCCCTCAAACAATTGTGGTCAAAATAATATATAATTTAGTCAAAACCTAATTCGGAGTCAAACCCTAATTAAGTCAAACCCTAATTCCCTCAAACAACTGTGGTCAACATAATATATAATTTAGTCAAACCCTAATTAAGTCAAACCCTAATTCCCAAAACCAACTGTGGTCAAAATAATATATTATTCAGTCAAACCCTAATTCAGGTCAAACCGTAATTAAGTCAAACCCTAATTCCCTCAACTAAATGTCCTCTTTCGAAAATGTGGGTGGGATGTTAAATGAGTGTAATTAGGAAACTATTGCTAGACGCAGGTTATTATAGTTATTTACGAAAATAATTATCAAGTTAATTAGGAAGTTTCCTTTCGAATAATTAGGAAGTTATTGTTAACCGTGGGTTATGGTAGTTAATTAACAAATTAGAGGTTGTTAATTAGGAAGTTTCCTTTTGAAAAATTCTTACTCAAAATAAAATATTTAATTAATGTAAAATTATATGCTCTATTTAATATTCCATCGCTCACAAAAAAAAACTACCAAAACTATATCAACGGAAAAATAAATCTTACCTTAAAAAACTCCCTTTAATTTGCCTAATTATCAGTTTTATAAATATTAAAATCAGTTTACCTACTTAATCACAATTCTAACAAAAAAATCACTTTAATTTCCACAAAAAGTCACCGGAATTCAATGAAAAAAAAGTAACCAGCGGCCGTCCGACACCGGAGATCGGACCCCGTCCGCCGAAAATGGTCGGACCCCGTCCGATTGTCGCAGGCGGGCGGTGTCCGACGCCGGCGAGCGGACGGTTTTTTTTCTCTTTTCGTTAGTTTAGTAAATATATTTATGTTTATATTTATTTTAGACTCAATTGGGAGGTCCGAAAGTTTGACGGCGGCGGAGATGATTTGGGGTGTGTGACGGCGGTGATGATGAGGTGGACGTAGGTGAAGATGGTCGGTGGTGGTTGGCGGTGGATGTGGCGGAAGGCGGCGATGGTTGGGAGGGAGGAGGCGGAAGGGTTTGGGAGGGAAGGGACAAAATTGTCCTAATGTTTGTAACTACGGGCGGCAAATAGTAAAAGCACGTGCGGCAAATAGCGATTCATTTTCTATACACGTACGTTATAAAGTTTTGACTCAATTCAATAATCCGATTGTAAGAGTTTTGAAGGTTATTAAAGGGGTACGATCATAATTCGACTACACTTGTGCTACATTTTATAACTTAGTTTCTTTGTTATGGAAACTATAAAAAAAACTTGATAAATATATATATTTCATTCATGGAAACCAGCAGAGCCACCCTGTAGCAATTAGGTGGAGTGTATGTTTCACTTCAGTCAACTATCTCCAAATTTAAACACTAAATTCATTTTTGATGATATAAACCCTAATTTTTTTTCAATTCATGATTAACAACCCTAAATTTTAAAAGAAAAATGGCAGCATAAAATGCTCCTTAATTAATTATTATGAACGCCTGCAGATACTAAGGTTTGACTTGAGACGTCGGCAGTGGTCCCTTTTTGTCACTCGTTTTTCTTTGTTCCCATGACAAGAGGAGACCCTCTCATTGCTTAAGCTTTCTTGATTCCTTCTTAATTAACGTATAATCATAATTATAATAGTTATATAGAATTTGACATTCTTAATAATTTTAATCAGCAGCCATAACCATGCTTCACTTACATTAAATGTTTCGTTTTGTTTGGTACCGCGACAGACGAAGACAAAAATAATGGGGGGGAAAAATACAGAATTGAATTGCATTGATCATGAGAGTTTAACAACCACGCGCAAGTAAGACAGAATGAACGAGCTAGGGAGGAGTATTATTTCTTCTTTGGCAAGAAGTTTGATTAACGGGTGTGTGGACGCGTGGCCGGAGTAAGAAATCTAAATGAGTTGGGTTAGATTTGAATATTGATAATTGGCTAGAACAAGTTCTCGTTCCCATCTAAAATAAAAATTTAGCATTCTAACTTTTCATATTGTGCTTTTACTAATGTTGGTATGAGTATAATCCGTGTATATATGTCCTAACAAAAGGGTCAGACTAGCGTACGTCAGGCGTATACTATACTTTAGGTACTATTAGTGAGATATCACTATCTAGACCATGAATTAAATCGAGTTTGTGGTATGATACTATACCCTAACATCTACTGGATAAACCCCATGCACCAATTTTCTAAACCCCAACCCGAAGTTTGATTTAATGAAAAACAAAAATTGACCGTTGAGATCGGCCGGAGCTCATCTAAGTACATCTAACGGTTAGATCACATGTTGTATACTATATGCCTGACGTACACCTGTCATTACCCCTAACAAAAAAATGTATAACCGGCTTTTACCAGGTGTTAACGTATGGAAGATTCGAATTCATCATTTTATTAAACTTATCTTGAATAGACCCTATCATCCTCATAAATAAAAATTACAACAACTTCTCGTCATTGAACCTAAGACGATCGAAGCACGAGAACTTATAAAATACCATATTTTGCTTAAGTGATTCAACCATGAGATGTAACCTGTTTGTGCCACGTACCCTCCTAGCTTCAGCCGACTCTCTCGCTTCCCCTGCTCCTGCGGCGTCCTCACGACACGTCCACAACCTGCACACCACGGCGCCCAACGAACCCCTTTGTGGGGGTTCGTTAGCACTCCGACGCCCAAGTCAGAACGATCTTTCTAGAGAGAGAGGGAAGATGCAAGTTTAGAGAGAAGTTGGAACCTGAGTAAATGAGCTCCACCCACTTCACTATTTATACTCGGGGGTAGGACCGACCAGTGCCCCCCAAATCCGCCCCACGTCACCACCACATTAAATGCACTGTTCCCTCCTTTCCTCAAGCGCCCTGCCATTCTGACACCTACCTTGGCCCCGCAGGCGCATGGTCCCACCTCCTGTCTCCTCCGTACGTCCCCGGCCGTTACTTCCCTTTTGTCGTCATGCGCCCTGCTTCGGGCCCGATTCCCCCACTTGGGCCCTGGCCTTCAGCCCTTTTCTCTGCCCAGGCTCACACTCCAGGCCCGGGCCCTCTTCCTGGTTCCCTGTTTGGGCCACTCGCTCTATGTCCCCCAACAATTGCCCCCCAGTTAGGCGCCTACCTCGAGGTGGGGGCCTAACTAACCCAGTCGCTTTCCGTGGCGCCTCCCTGTTTAGCACGCTCTCTTTGGCTCCCCCATTGACACCCCAGTAAGGCGCCTTGCATGGTGCGCTTTAGGTTCTTTCCCCCATCCTATCAACTAACGCGTTCTTCTCTCTCTCTTTCATAAAAAAATTCTATGCTCTTTGTGGGGCGACCGTTGGGCTCCCGCCTCGATCACCGGTCCATTCCCCCCTCCCCCCAGGCTGAAGCGATTTCAAATTTTTGAATTTTGAATTCGCCTCAGCCTAGGCGACGGTTCGGATCCCCTACTCCACTTCCTCTCTCTCCTTTTCGCCTATAAATTGCCCCCCACTCTCTCTTCCTTCCTCACTTTGCAAAAATATCCCTTCTCTCTACTTTCTCTCTCTAAGCTCTCGTTGCTCTGCTCTCTGGTGCTCCTCGCATCTCTCGGCCACATCCCTCGGCCACGTTCCTCGGCCACTTGTGCTAGGCGCCTTGCCTCTCTTCGCGACTTTCGCACGCCACCATTCACCTCATGGCCTCCTCCAACCAGCCAGGGTCCCCCAAGGCGACGCCTACCGACGTGGCGCCTCCCACTGCCGCGCCTGAACATGCGGCGCCTGCCACCGCAGAGCCCGCGAACGCCGCGCCTCCTAATGCTGCGCCTTCAGCTGCATCTGCCGCTGCTCCAAGTACCTACACGCCTTACCCTCTTTATGCGCATTTTGAGTTTCTTGAGCGTACGTCCTACACGGGCCATTCCATAAGTAGGATCGTTTATCCTCCTCATCTCCCAAGTGCCTTCCGCCTCGTGTTTTGAGCGTCTCCTTTCATCCTAGCCGCCTTCTTCACGAGCGCCTCCCTTGACCTCCTCCTTTTCTTCTTCCTTAGGCACCGGCGCGCCTCGGGAGTTTGGGATAAGCCAGTGGGGCAACATGTGGCCGCCTGGGTATATGCCCACAGACATTGACCTAATGTCCGAGGAAGACGCCGGGCCGCCTCACGTCTCCAAACTTCTTTATTCCCGCTTCACTTCCCTCATCCGAGCGGCACAGATGCCCGCTGACTGGCGTTACGCGCATCCCTCGCCCATCGCGTGCGTGGGGGTTTGCGGCGAAGGTTGGATCGGCGTGTATCAAGAGTACGCGCGCTTCGGACTCAGGTTCCCCATCGATCCTATCCTGGAGGGCGTGCTACATCTGGCCGGGTGCTCCCTCGGACGCCTGTCGCCCGTAATCATCTTATACACCGTCCTCTTCCGCCTTAAATGCCGCCAACACAACATCCTACCTTCCTTCAAGCTTTTCCAACACTTCTTCACTATGATTAGAAGCCCCAATTGCTTCAGCCTACAAAAGCGCCAAAAGCTGGGGTATCACTTCATAAGCAAGGGCAAGAAAATGGGGCGCTCTTGGTTCGAGAGTTTTTTCTTCGTCCGCCCTCGAGACACGCCTTTCTTTGAGAGTGGCGCCGCCCCCCTGACACGGTGGTCCTTTGGGGACGAGACTGTGTTCAATCAAAATCCTCGCTTAAACAAGGCGGAGGAAGATATGGCGCGGCGCCTTGCGTCGGTCCCAATAAATCTTAAGAAAGACGACGCCTATGCCCAATACTTAGCGGAGTTCTATAACGATGGTAGATTCCTAAGTCTCAACTTCGCGCCTTTCTATGTTTCATGCGCCTTGTCTGACATGTGTTTTTGTCATTTACCGCAGGCACCGTGTTCACGAACATCTCGGACCTTATACGTTCGAAGCTTCATCTCATCCCGCCCAAGGCGCATCGGAAGCGCGGGAAGACCAGCAAGGCGTCTGCTGGGCCATCCCAGCCTACGCCAAGGAAGCAGGTGCGGCTGAGAGTTATTTCTAACCGCCCTGCGCCTTCCGGTGGCGCAGGGTCTCCCGCCACGAATGAGGCTCCCCAACGATCGAAAAACTCTCCCATCGACCTCGACGAGGAGCGGGACGTCTCCCCAGAACACCAGAGCCTGGGCGCCTCCCGCTCTCATCACAGCCCCTGCGCCTCACCTCGCAGCCAGGGCGCCACGTCCCAAACACCTCCTACTGCCTCCCAACCCCAAGTGTCGGAGAAGAGGCCCGCCGAGCCGCTTCTCTCGGCTGCAAAGAAGGCCAAGCTGGACAACGTGATAGCCTCAGGCGTGCCGGCCAGCTTGGTGATGCCCAGTATTGGAAAACACACGGGGAAGGTCATACCCCCTTACCTTCAACCTCCATCGCGCCCATTGGAGAAGGTTGCCGTGGGTGTGCCTGTCAGGGCGGCCAAGGATCCAGGCGCGTCCATGCAGATGATGCTGTCCCATGCCGCCGTGATCGAGCGGCCCGATCACCTCAACTCCAGCCGCCCCCTTCGCACCATGGCCAACCTCAACGTTCAGGTAAGGCGTCTGTCTGACCTGTTTCCTTGTTCTTCCAAGTACTTGTCGATTCTGAGTCTAACGTGGATACTTTATGTACCAGATGATGATGCTGATCGAATCCACTGCGCGTGAATTCGATCGCATGGCCAAAGAGAGCTCAGCCTCGGAGAACGCGGCGGAGCGCCTTCAAAGCGAGCTGGCCGCTGCTCGCAAGGCGCATGACGCGCTGAGCAAGGCGCGGGATGAGGCGCAGAATGAGGCCCAAGCTTGGGCGTCTAAGCTCTCCACCGAACTCGAGGCGGAGCGCGCAAAAATTAAGGCCTCCGTTGAGGAGGAGTGCAAGAAGCGCTATGACGCGCAAGCCGCCGCCACTAGGGCTGAGGCGGCCGAGGTAGAGAAGGCGCTGCTCGAGAGGCAGGCAACACTCGTCGAGGAGCGTGATAAGTATTACACGGACGCCCGGAAGTCCGCGGACGCCTTGAGGAGGGCTTGCAGGGCCCACGAGTAGTGCAAGAAGGACCTGAAGGCGGCCACATCTGAGGCGGCACGTCTGGAGAAAGAGCTCTCCGACTATCCCAAGTCGGCGGCAGGGAAAAACCTCCAAGCGGACACTTTGATCGACACGGTGAAGATCCTTCGGGATAAGTTCAATAAGGATGTCCCCGAGGTGGAGTTCGACCCCATGGCCATGATCCTGCACATTCTCAAATTCATGGACAGCGGCCGCAAAGCCAGTGATCTGGAGCCAGTTGTGGGGTTGGACGCTCCCCCGCATGATGAGGAGGTTGAAGAGGGCGATGGAGAAGAAGGGGAGCAGGAGGAAGAGAGCGAGGGCGGTGACGGGGGCGCCGGTGACGAAGAGAGGCGCTCCCCTCAGCATCAGGAGACGCCGGAGGGGACGGTGCAGAGCGAGGAGGAGTGAATCGTTATTTAGTTACTTTTCTTGCTTTACTTTCGATGTAACCTTTTCATTAATGTAACGAACCTTGTCCAGTTTCTTAAGTTATTTCACTTTGCTGTCTACGTACGCCTTATGTTAAGCATCGCTATTCATGAGTTCGAATGGGACGTGTTCAAGGCGCATAGTGTTGGGCGCTTTACGGGGCTACCCACATGGCGCATAGTATTTGGGCGCTTTATGCCTAAAGCAAACGTAATTTCGAGGGCGCAAAAGTAGGGCGCTTTACCGACAAGGATGTCTCGATATGAAGGCGCAAAAATAGGGCGCTTTACCACCAATGGTGTAAAAATATTCAGGCGCGGAGTAGGGCGCTTTACAATTCACATTGCTATGACCCTATGGCGCAAAAGGGAGGGCGCTTTACGATATTCCTTCCCGGCGCGTGGGGCGGCGCGCTTGCAGTAATAATAACCCCCTTACACCTAACCTACTGACTTTCCACTTCTGGCCAAAATGCAGGCGCCCTTCCCCTTGCTGCCATCGCGCTACTCGGCGGCGTCTCTCCCTTCGCTCCCGTGATACACCTTGAGATTCTGGGCATTCCATGTTCGTTTGATGGCCTTCCCCCCGATGCGTTCCAGCTTGAATGTGGCTGGTCCGATCACCTCCCTAACACGGTACGGACCTTTCCACTTGGGAGCGAGCTTTCCCTCACACGGCTCCGGCCGGAAGTCTCGGCGTAGCACCATCCTGCCCAGGCGTATTTGATGCGTGCGCATCTTGAGGTTATAGTATTTGGCCACTTGCTGCTTCATGGCCTCGAGGCGTACTGAAGCAACGTCCCGGCGTTCCTCCAGCATATCAAGGTCATGTACACGCTCCTCCTCGTTTGCCGGCTCCTCATACCTCGCCATGCGATGCGTTGGGAAGCGCATCTCCACCGGGATGACCGCCTCACTACCGTAAGTTAGCGCAAATGGTGTCTCTCCTGTTGCCACCTTGTATGTTGTTCTATGCGCCCAGAGTACGCCCGGGAGCTCCTCCACCCATCTCCCCTTGGCCTCCAACAAACGCGTATGGAGTCCATGCAAGATACTCTTGTTAGCCGCCTCGGCTTGCCCGTTGGCTTGAGGGTACGCCACTGACGAGAAGCGGAGGATTACTCCACTTTCATCACAGAATTTGATGAACTGTCGGCAGTCAAACTGCTTACCGTGGTCGGCGATGATTGATTCAGGCAGCCCAAACCGCGAGAAGATATTCTTGGTCGTAAACTTCCTGACCTGAGCCTGGGTGATGGACGCCAAGGGCTCCGCTTCCACCCATTTTGAGAAGTAGTCGACCGCCACGATGAGGTATTTCATCTGACCGGGCGCCTTAGGGAAGGGTCCCAGCAGATCCATCCCCCATTGCGCTAATGGCCATGCGCCTACATTGCCCTTCATGGGGGCCTGCGGAACGTGGATGTCCTGGGAGTGGATCTGGCACTGGTGACAGCTCTCCACATGTTTCTTAGCGTCTCTCCTGATTGAGGGCCAGTAATAGCCCTGGCGCAACAGCACCTTCTCGAGACTTCGTGCGCCGGCGTGCATGCCGCAGGCACCTTGGTGCACCTCTTCTATAGCCTGTTCTCCTTCCGCCTCCGTGAGGCACCTCAGGTAGACCCCCGCATGCGACCGTTTGTACAGCTGCCCGTCGATCATCACACAGCGGGCCGCCTTACGCCTTACCTGCCATGCCTGCCTTGCATCCTCGGGTACAACTCCATGGATTAGATATGCCTTAATCGGGGTCATCCACCTTTGTTCTTCACAATCCTGCTCCCCGACCACTGCCACCATTTGCTCCTCCGACGGGTGCTCCTTTGTGACGATGACGCGCCTCTCGCTCTCGAAGTCGGTAGCCGTGGCCAGTTTTGACAAAGCGTCTGCGTGGGCATTCTCCTCCCGCGGGACATGTGTGAACTCCACTTGTGCGAACCAAGCACGCATCCCCTCTATCCTCTTCAGGTGCATGTTCAACGACTCCTCCTTCACTTCGAACACTCCGTTCAACTGGTTGACCACCAAGGCCGAGTCAGAGCGGACCTGGACCCTTCGCTCCCCCAACTCTCGCGCCGTGTTCAATCCTGCTATCACGGCCTCGTATTCCGCCGCGTTGTTGGTTTTCAGTGATGAGAACCGGAGCGCCAGCTCATGCATGGCGCCCGTGGGATTGATGACCACTATTCCTGCCCCTGCTCCGGCTCGACTGGCCGCCCCGTCGACGTAGACCTGCCAGGTTTCGCTCGTCTCTTCCCCGTTGCTCACCACCCCTTCTGCTGCGAAGTCAGCCAGCACCTGCGCTTTGATTGCTGGGCGGGGCGCGTATTTGATGTCATACTCACTCAGCTGCACGGCCCACTTTACTATACGCCCCGCCACGTCCATGGACCCTAGTGTGCTTCTCAAAGGCAGGTTCGTGAGCACTACCACTGAGTGTGCCTGGAAGTACGGGCGTAGCTTTTCTGCCGTGGCTACTACGGCCAGAGCCGCCTTCTCTA